CTTTAAATGGTAAAATTTTTAACAACGCGGATGATGTGGGATCACACCTAGTTCAGTTTGTTAATAGCAAAGACCAGACATTTTACGAACGGGGAATTTTTACTCTGCCAGAACGATGGAAAAAGGTCATCGACAAGAACGGCCAATATCTAATTGAATAAAGTTATATTTTTAAACAAAAATTCCGAATTTGCCTTCTTATTTGAAATTGGCAATGACCTAGTTGCCAACCTAATATAAATGTGTGGATTCACTTGACAAATATTCGAGTGCGATTGATAAAATTAATTGTTATTTTTAGATTCATTCTGTTGTTGAAACAATTTTCACATTTCTATTAATGTTTTTTTGGTAATTTACCTTGTGTTATCTTGACTCAGAGCAGTATACCTCTGCACATTTATAAGTAAATCATTTAAGGCACATACCTCGAAAGGAACACATCTTTTGAGATGACTCTGCAAAGGAAATCAGCGGTTCCATATTCTTGGATGTCTAGAATAATTCAAACAAAGTGAGTTAAACTAACAAATCAAGTAAGATGGTTTCATCAAAGTGTCTAACTTTAAGTCATCACTTAATTTGTTATTATCATATTCCTATCTGTCCGATTAAATAATCTTGAAGATTTCTGTTGATTGAAAATAAATTTATGGAAATCGTATTTTATGATCGGAAGAAAAGCCAAGGCACAACAAACCTAACAATATAAATTTTAGTTAAGGGTATTTTATATTTCCCTTTATGGGGTGTGCGATAGACTTACCTCCACGTGGGGCACCATGGGCAACGTATACTCATACGGCAAAAAAGTCTATAAACCGGAAGTTGACTTCTCACTTCAAACTACCATCACCCCAAAACCGGCAGTTGACTTCTGACTTCAAACTACCATGACCAAACCTGCAGTTGACTTCTGACTTCAAACTACCACGACCCCCAAACTTCAGTTGACTTCTGACTTCAAATTTCTATGGCCCGAATATTTTTAAGTTGACTTCTCACTTCAAACTACCATCACCACACCGTATGTCATATTCGACTTCTTTCACAGTACTCACCTCACCTTTTTTTCTACCATTGTGTCTGTCTCTTTTACATCTTTGAAAAACTCTTCTGTCCCCTCCCTCTCGACTTTTGCACTTTGATGTTCCTTCCCCTCTATGAAGCCTGAAGTCAACTAACTCTATGAAGCCTGAAGTCAACTAAAGGGCTAATGATACCCATCAAAATGCCTGCCATTTGATATAAATAAATAAATATTTCCCTTTATTAAAACTTATCTTAGCATTAAATATATATATATATATATATATATATATATATATATATTCCGTTATATATATATATATATATATATATATATATATATATATCGGAATAAAGAGTTTACTAAGAAATATAGATTCAGGTAGTCGGAGAACTCACTTGAGCAATGGAATAGTTGGATTCAGTGAGGGTGAGGGAAAAGTTTGATTCTTTAGGAAGTGAGGATGGCTGTTGTACAACTCTTCTAACAGTGGAGAGACCTTCATCGCTGAAATTACCACCTTCACCATCGGTCGTATTTGCTGTTGGTGTTATAATTGATCTTTTGCCAGAACAACTGCTAGTTGTGGTCATTGTTGATGTCTCAACAATTGTTGGCGTGGTGAGAGAAGAGCCCATCACGGGAGTTTCCAAGTTGGCTTTTCCACTGATTGCGTCAGACACTTCCATAAAGTCGTCTTCATCAACATCATCCTCATCATCTCCTTCTTCCCCTTCAGCAATATCCTCGTCATTGTCAAT